CCTTATAGCACAGTAGATAAACAATGAAAAGAAACTGATATCTTTGGGTAACTATTCTAGCACATTGGGCAACCTTTTGACTGAATGTGATATGGTTTTTATGTATATGAATGTGTGTCAAAATTTTGGTGTCTAATGTTCCTTCTAGTGACAACTAATGGTCCTTGAAAATGCTAATTTCATATGAAGAAACACTTTCTTATAGAAAAAAATATACAGTTGTATCAGAGAAATGAAATATCCTGAAAAAGAATATTACCCACCTTCATCATAGTACTTAGTGACAAAATGTATTTACTCTGTGAAATTTTCTTAAATTATTAACATTTTGGTTATATGAGTAATTTTGTAATTGTTTTTGATAAATTACTGTATCTGTACCACATAACACACATCTATGTGAGGATTGATAGACATGTATGGGTTTGTTTGTGCTATAATAAAAGGCATATGATGTAAAGAAGTCATTAATATATGAAATGTCAGGAAGGCTATTTCTTCTAGTTTTCAAATAAGAGAATAGTCTATTATACAGTTTTGGTGTTACACAGAATGTGAAAATTGACACGATCGAGATGTTTTCATCATGTATTTGAAGTCCAGGTGAAGAAAAGGTAGCATAGCCCCAAGCCTGCTGGAGGAGACAGCTGGTATTAAAGCTGCAAGGCAAACAGTGCTAGTGCCTGGAAAAGAAGAATAAGGGGTCTAGTGCTACGTCTCAGGACACAGAACAGCACAGGGGCAGGGGAAAGATAGTGTTTCTTGGAGATATCCATGCTTGTCTCTTTCATGAAACATTTTTTCAAATAAAGCTTGAGGATTATTCATATTTCTCTTCGGTAACAATTACAGCAAGGAGGTAGGATTTTTCTAAATAGTTGAGAGAAAAATTTAAAGTCAAAGAAAATTAATTATATTTTTATTATTCAAAACAACTGTACAATTTAAGCATATTTCGATCATATTCTTCCCCTCTTGCAAATTCTTTGAGATCGTCTCCTCCCTCCTACCCACACATGTAGATGTAACCAACCGTCTTATTAAATAAGAAACACAGAACCAATGCAAAGAAGAAAGCCAAGAGGTCAGAGCTAAGAGCTAAAACCTTACCCTTCCTCCTGTGGTGGTCCTACCTCTCTGAACCAGAGCTACTTCCTATGTTAAAGTCTTTATATAGAGTTTCTGTTCTGCTTTTCATTGGTTGTAAACCCAACCACATGACCGCCTCGTCACGGCCTGTCTGTATAGACCTCCAGGTTTTCTATGTTTGGTATTGAGATTAAAGGCATGTATATCCAGTGCTGGCTGTATCCCTGAACACACAAAGACTTACCTAGCTCTGCCTACCAAATGCTGGGATTACAAGTGTATGCCACTACCGCCCTGCTTTCCTATGGCTTGCTAATAGCTCTGACCCCCGGGCAACTTTATTTATTAACATACAAATAACATTTTAATACAAATAAAATGTCACCATACACACAACTTTAAGTTCTTTCTAAAAAAACAAACAAAACTCCAGCACAACAATGAATGTCCCGCAAACCAAGAAAACAAAATAAAACAATGCCCCCAAACAAAACAAAACACCAAACTATAACCAAATAAAAGCACATAAAAACCAAAACAAAAAACCTGTGTTTCATTATATGTTGGTTAACTAATCCTGAACATGGGACATTTCTACTGTACTAGGTTCTTATACAACATCTCAAATGCCTTTTAACTTTCGCTATCTCTCCCTGTATTTCCTCCCTCAACACCCTCTTCCTTCCCCCGCCCACCTGATCCTCCCATTCCAGCTCCTCTGCTTCCATCTATATCTACCTATTTTATTTCCTTTCCTAATGAGATCCTCTAGTTTCTTACTCTAAACATTCCCCCTGTGGTTATACAGATTATAGCTTTGTTATCATTGGCTTTACAACTAATATCCACATATATATGAATACATACCATATTTGTCATTCTGGATCAGGTTTTCCTACTCAGGATGATTTTTTTTCTAGTTCCATTAATTTGCCTGCACATTCCATGATGTCATTTTTTTAAGAGGCTGAATAACTGTCCATTTGTAAATTACCACATTTTCTTTATCCATTCTTCTGTTGAGTAACAACTAGGTTGTTTCCAATTTCTGGCTATTATGAACAGAGTAGCAATGAACATGGTTGAGCAAGTGTCTCTGCAGTAATATGAAACATCCTTTGGGTTTATACCTAAGACTGGTTATAGCTGGACCTTGAAGTAAATTGATTCACAACTTCTTGAGGGACTGCCACACTCATTTCCATAGTAGCTGTATGAGTTTGTACTCTCACCAGCAATGTATGACTGACTATTTCTCTCACTCCACATCCTTGTCAGCATGAGCTGCCACTTGTTTTGTTGCTTTTAACCATTCTGATAGGTGTAAATGAAATATCAAAGTAGTTTTGATTTGCATTTCCCTGAAGACTAAGGATGTTTAACATTTCTTTAAGTGTTTCTCAACCATCTGAGTTTCCTCTACTGAGAATTCTGTTTAGATCTGTATCCCATTTTAAAATTGGATTATTTGGTTTTTTGATATCTAGTTTCTTGAGTTCTTTATATATATTTTAGATATAAGTTCTCTATTGGATGCAGAGTTGGGAAAAATATCTTTTTTTCATTCTATAGGCTGATACTTTGTCTGACTGACAATGCCCTTTGCCTGACAGAAACTTTTACATTTAATGAGGTCCCATTTATTTTCTCTTTTCTTTTCTTTTCTTTTCTTCTCTTTTTTCTTTTCTTTCCTTTCCTTTCCTTTCCTTTCCTTTCCTTTCCTTTCCTTTCCTTTCCTTTCCTTTCCTTTCCTTTCCTTTTCTTTCCTTTCCTTTTCTTTTCTTTTCTTTTCTTTGCCTTTCCTTTCCTTTCCTTTCTTTATTTTTCTCTCATATAATATACCTCGACCACAGCCTCTCCTCTCTCTCCTTTTTCACTCCCCCTTATCTCTCCTCTCTCGCAGATCTACTGCTCCTCCATTTGCCTTCAGAAAAGAGCAGCCTCCCAGTGATATCAAGCAAATACAGCATAACAAGATGCAATAATACTAGGCATATGCCTTCATATCAAGACTATATGATGGTACTCAACATGGGGCATTTTTTTAAAAATTATAACTGCACAGCTAGCTCAGTTGGTAGAGCATGAGACTCTTAATCTCAGGAGCATGCGTTCATGCCCCATGTTGGGTGTAATTTGTAGCTGATGTTTTCTCTGGTCCTGCCCAGCCTCATGGACCCTGCAGCAGCTTATAAAAATAATCACTCAGAAGCTTATATTAATTAAAACTTCTTGGCCATTTGCTCAGACCTACCACTGACTACCTCTTACTTTTCAATTTAGCCCATTTCTGTTAATCTATATGTTGCCATGTCTTCAGTGGCTTCATCTGTGTGCCTTTACATGCTGCTCCTTGGACAGTGGGCTGGTGTCTCCTGTCTCAGCCTTCCTCTCTCAGAATTCTCCTTCTCTGCTTTTCCTGCCTATACTTCCTGTCTGGCTACTGGCCAATCAGCATTTTATTTATCAACCAGTCAGAGCAACACATTCACAGCATACAGAGCAACATCACCCATCAATTCCTAATGAAACTTTTTCAATTTCTTTTAAGATTTCAGTAAGATTCAGAAGGAATCAGTAACAACACAATCATCACCTATGGCCCAGAAGTAGCTCTAGATAATAAGGAAGCACCTTCTTTGGAGATGCTTTAGGAAGAGACAAGAAAAATGCTGAAGATGCTTCTACCTCCAAGAGCAAGAGGAGGTGATGTGGGACCTGATATATTTTTGGAGGCCACTTAGAGCTACCGAGATGGCCTGATAGACACAGTTAACCTTCCAGAAGCATGAAATTAGTTTTTTTATTGCAGTTTTAAATAGAAGCAATGGAAATTCAATTACATAGTGGGAAAAAAAAGGGAATTCATTTTTTGGACATCTTCTTTGTTGTGGAGGCCCATAGAGGTTTCATAGTGAGATCTGAGCTTGCTTTACCCAGTAGGGCTGCATTAGAGGATGGTTTGACTATGTGAGTGGTTACCAGGTAATTAGAAGGGTCTGCACTTGGCTCTGCTAGGGGGAGGTCTTTTGGTCTGCCTCTTGGCATTCTTATAAAAATCCTTTAGAAGGGACAGAAGGGACCAATGGATATCGATGCCGGCCCTCCTGAACCTCTTCTGTGTTTCTGTCTGTTTCTTTTCCACACTCCTTTTCTACCTAGTATTTCTTATCTTTTGCCTCAAGAGTACCCTGGGGAAAAATGGGGAAATGTGGAAGCTGGCCTCCCATACTCTATCCATAATTCAGCCTTCTTTTGGGAATAGATACTCCTTTTGTAAATATCAGGGCTACTTGTCAGTCAGAAAACATTTTTTTTTTCAAGTTTTCCTTTCCAGATATGAATAAATATTTCATGTTGTGCGGTATTAAATTAATGCACTTCTGAATGTGCCATGTTCAATTATGTGCTGCAGACATGCTTACAAATATTAGAAAACATATACCAACATAAGAATTCTTGTTCTTATTTCTACTCTGCTTTGGAGGCTTTGTGCACAATGTGTACATTCTTGTTTAATGATGTGTGTCTCATCCATTGTAATTATTTTTTTGGAGGTAGGAGTAGGTTATAACTCACAATATCACTCTATGACCTTTACAGTTCTGCACACTTAGCAAAAATTAGGCATCATATTTTGCATATTTTATTTCTTGATAAAATTATTTGTTTTGAGCATCACAATGTCTGAAATTTTAAAAATGTACTTAATTAAAAAAGCCAATTACATATATTATTGAAATGATAAAGGATGCTGACCAAATATATTTATTTTCTGTCATAAGATAAATATGTCATAAAAGGAACATAAATATGCATAAAAGGAACATTGTTCTACATACATAAAACATAATCACTAACAAGAAGTCTTTAAAGTGTTTGATAAATTGCTTAATGTGATTCATGTTGTGATGAGCAGATGGATTTTCTGCATTCCTAGTGAGATGTTGTCCTTCATATGTCCTATTGGCTAAAACTGGTTTTTCCCCTGACAACTTAAAAATAAACAGTGCTGGAATAATCTCACAACCTGTGGCCATAAAGAAGCCTTTGAACTGTTTGCCAATCCTACAAACATAAATTTTAGTAAAGAAAAATTAGTCTTTTCATAAGAAAAATTTTTGTTCAAGGAACTTATTTAGAGCAACTTTGACATCCTTATTCCTCAGGCTATAGATCAATGGGTTCATCATGGGCACAACAATCGTATAAAACACAGAAGACACTTTCCCTTGGTCCATGGAGCTGACTGATGATGGCTGCAGGTACATGAATGCAAGGGAACCAAAGAAGACAGCAACAGCTGATATGTGTGAGCTACAGGTGCTGAAGGCTTTGGATCTGCCCTCAGTGGATTTAATTCGGAGGATGCTGGCAATGATGAAGACGTAAGAACTCAGTATAGTCAGAGTTGGAATAAAGATGTTAAAAGCACTGAAACACAGAACTACTACTTCATTAATAAATGTGTCAGAACAAGAGAGCTCCAGAAGTGGAAAAAGATCACAGAAGTAATGGTTTATTACATCATCCTTACAGAAATGCACTCTTAACATGCAGACTGTGTGAGTTGTGGCCCCAATCAAAGCCATGGTATACACCCCAAATATCATCCAGGAACAGACTTGATAGGACATCATAACATTATAAAGCAAGGGGTTACAGATGGCAACATAGCGGTCATATGCCATTGCAGCCAACATGTGACACTCTGCAATTCCAAAAACCAGGAAGAAATAGAGCTGAGTCATGCATTCAGGGTAGGAGATGATGTTCTTCACTGTCACAAAGTTCACCAGCATTTTGGGGGTAATGACAGTGGAATGGCAGAGGTCAATGAAGGAGAGACTGCTGAGGAAGAAGTACATGGGGGTGTGCAGGTGAGAACTGAATTGTATCAGGGTGATCATGCCCATATTGCCCACCACTGTGACCACATAGATTCCTAGAAAAAAGAAGAAGAGAGGGAGCTGGAGCTCTGGTTTGTCTGTTAAGCCAGCAAGCATGAACTCAGTCACTCTGGAAAGATTTCCTTGTAACATTTTCTTCTGGGAGTTCTATGTGAAAAGAGAAGGGGAAAATGAGATAATATCTATTATATTATTACATATATATTACAAATATACATATATATTACATATATCTGAGGTGTGAAAGAGAATTCAAGTTTTTATCTTGCCTAGCATCTTCAATTTTTTGACAGCTATTCTTACATGATAGCCATCTAAGACTTTAGACTTCCCAACACATGGCACTTGTAATTAAATATAAGATACATCTGTCCCTGTTTGTGACTTTTGCCATGAAAATGGTAGTACTCAGCTCATGGACAACTAAGGAGAGATCTGATGCATTCAGCGGAGTCTGCTAAGGATTTTTCATGACTCATTTGTAGTTCTCCCAATCAAGAGAAAAACATTTTTCTGTGTTACAATAAGAACAGCATCCACACAAAGACAAAAGAACACCAGGCACATATACAACTCATCCTCTACTTAATGGTGGTGACTTAAAGGCTTTCTCCATAAAGTAATGAACAGTATAAGTTGAACTCTTCTTGCAGGCTGCAAGAATATATTATAGAGATTCAGCTGTGTATTAAAGCTATCTATACCTTGATTGGCCAAGGGTCCTGTCAAGAGACGAGCCATTTATTATGAATATTTGGTGCTATCCAGCCTTTAATATTCAAGCTATCCTCTATTATGAAATTTTTGCATGGCCAAATATTTTTCAGACCTGCTGAACTTCTAGGTAATTTCCCTGTTGAAGCCAGTACCTGGATAAGGTCACATAAGTAAAGACAATCTGGCAGAGACACATAGCTTTGTTTCTTATGCAAATGAAGTTCAGACCACCCTCCTGACCGAGGCCTAGTGGTTCTCCAGGGCAACTGACTGAGAACAAAAGAGGTTTTTACATATCAAGGTGAGAGATAGAACAACATTCCTGAGGAGACAGAGAACCACATGCCCAGGGAAAGAAAGGGCAGGCATTTTCTGTAGAAATGCACAGAATGGCATGGCGAAAGAGAAGAGAGGAAGACAGGTCGCGTAGAGGGTAAGCAGATCTTGGGTAGAGTTTTCTGTGTCAGGAGGAGAGAGTATCAAAGATGGAGAAAGAGGATACAGGGGACAAAAATGAGGTTGGACCCACAGGAATTTAGTCGTTAGCAGGGCTATGAGCTGGGGAACTGGATGGAACTGAAGCTATGGAAACAGGATTTCATTCCAGAGAAATAAAGTAGACAGATAAAGAGTTTGGTATATCTAGAGTTATTTCTGTCCTAAATGCCTGACGGAGCTATAGCTGTATTGATAGAATTTTGTTTCAGAGGAATAAAGTTAAGAGACACAAGAACATAGTGTATGTAGATTTTTTTCCCCCTCAGATATCCCATGCTGGACATAGCACCCCAGACCCCTGGGTACTCCATATTCTCTTTCTTTAACCAACATTATAGTAGAAATAAAGTTAGGGCAATCAGATAAGAATACAAAATCAAAAGGCATCTGAATTGGAAAGTAAATAATAAAACTATCTTTGCATATATATGAATTAATTTTGTATACAAAAAATTCCAAGAAATCTATAAGGAAGCACTGTTATTTATTTAAAGTTTACCATGGAAGTGGGGCCCAAGATCATCAAGAAATGCAGCAATCATAAAAATCCATTTAAAATATCATGGAAAATGTTAAAACATTTAGGAATAAAATAAAAACATATAAGGTATTGCACTTGAAATTATCAACATTGTCAAAAGGATAAACCATTACATACATGGAAAGACACCCCATCTTCATGGATTATAAGCTTTAACATTGTGAAATGACAATACTTCCTAAACTAGTCTAAAATTTCAGTGTAATCCTAATGAAAATCCAAAATATTTTTATTGCAATAATGGCATGCTGATCATAAATTCTCCACAAAATATAAGGACCCTGATCTGGAAATGATCAGAACAAACCTAAAGGAAAAGAATGAAATTGGAATTTTCAAGTTTCCCCAACTGAAAATATACTACAACCTTATAATATGCTCATAATACAGATATGTGATGAGATATAAGGAAATTGGCAATCTGTTAAAAAATACATCTACAAATTATTAAAGTTATATGTTTAATAATAATTCAGTGTAGGAACAATGGATTTCTAATACATGGGCAATTAGATGAAGTTACATGTTAAATAATTAATATGCAACTCTTCATACTATGAAAGGGTTAATGAAAAATGAATGTTATATATAAATATTTTATCTAAAAATAGTAACATTTGATAAAAACTGCAATACTAGAACTTTATGCCCATGAAATTGGTGATAGTTTCTTGGATAGGATGTTACAATCAGAGGCTACAGAAACAAACAAACAAATAAATAAATTGAACATAATTAAAAATAAAAATAATTTGTGCCTTAAAGGACATCATAGATAGATAGAAAAAAAGATGAAAAAAAGCACACTCAATGGGAAACACATCTCATGTAATATATCTTAGGGAGAACTACTGATAAATGTTAAGAACTTTTTTTTTTATCTGAATGGCTAAGAGAACAAATAATCCAGTTATACACAGCCAGATGATCTGAGTAAAGATCCTTCTAGTGGAGATAGACAAATTCCCAATAAACAGCTGAAAATATGTGCACCATGATTAACATTAAAGTCATTTTAATAAAAACCAGAGAGAGACAAAATTTCACATTGGTTGGAGTGGTTGAGATAAAATGGTAAGTGCTCACAAGGATGGGAAGAATCAAAACCTCATATTACTGGTGAGTTTATAAAATGGCACAGAAGTTTCAGAAAACAGTTTGAGAATCCTTCAAAATGTAGAGTGAATAGAAAATTTCTTAGTGAAGAGAAATGAAAAAAAAAAAAGTAAACCTAGAGTTATCACCAACCCAAGGAATTTCAGCACTTGAGACACCTCTCTCTGAATTAAAAACACACTGACAGAAAAAGTTGTACAAGTGTCTCGAGTAGCAGACAATGCTAACAGCCAACGCTAGGTGGAGGTCTTCCTGCCCCACACTTGTCTCTTCTACCTCTCCTGCTGGCTCTCTCCTAATGGGAGAAACCATGCTGACTGTGGATCAATTAATTCTATGCTTTTCTATAAAATCTTAAGACTTTCTAGAGGTTGATTTTGTTAACTTAAAATCAAACTCAGAAGTGACCGTATACTAGTTTGTATGAAATCTGTTTCTCTTAGCAAGTCTCCTAGTTTTGTTGTGCCCAGATCGTGACCCCCAGAGAGATCACCTAGGATGAGCATACCAGAATGCAAAAGCAAGGTTTAATTTTGGGATATCCCAAAGCAATACAAGCCTAGGCAGGGACTTTGTCCAACAGATCCAACGCAGTGGAGGCTGGAGGAAGTGCCCACCTATCTGCAAGCTCAGTTTTTAAAGGGAAAAATCACAAGGTTACATCATTTAGGGGTGCTAGTATGGGTACAATTCTGATCAGCTTGTGTCTAGGAATTCCAGATATCACGATTCAGTTTTCCTTCTAAGGAGGTAGTTGCCTGTCACCATTTCTCATTGGCTGCCCCCAGATGGGGGCATCTGGTGATTACACAGTCACTATGGAAAATAGGGTTGGGACATTCTATGGTCAAACAGTTACTTAGGGAACCAGGGAAAGGACATTCCATAGTCCGGCAGTCATTACCTCCTGACTACCTTGTGACTCTGTAGTTTTACACTTCTTGGTTTCTGGAATCTGGACTGGCTGCTTTCAGTAACTTCTGGCCTGTTCCAGTAACTTATACCCTGTAGTTAAAAGGAGAAGTCTTAGGCCTTAGTTTTGGGGGTGAAAGCATTTTGGTCTTATTTTGGTTCTACAGTTTTATCTCTCTTAAAGAGAAGGATGACTGCCTAAACCTGAGCTGAACAAGGGAAGCAGTAGACATGCTAATGTCAACAGAGGAAAGACCAGGAGGCTTTGATACTATGTAAAGAATTACTATGGGCAACTAAGGAAGGCTGAGCTTGGGAGAACTTGTTTTCCTCAGGGAAGAATACACTGATCGGTATGATGATATAGTTATATTAAAGTGATATAATTATAAATGATATAATTATAACACAAAATCATTATAATTATGAAATACATAACTATGAAATATGTGTTATAATCATAAAAATATAATATATAAATGTATTATAATTATAGAGCTATGTAATTATAAAAATTATAAATTGATATAATTATAGTATAACCTCAAAAAGTTAAAGAAAAGATAATAAGATTCAATGTTGATATAGTTGTTCTGTGTCTCCCAAAATTCAAGTGCTGGTAATTTCCACCATGGATTAAAGCTGGATTTCAATAACAACAGAAACTGCAGAAAGTCTACAAACTCATGGAAATGGAACAACTCTACTAAATCATCACTGGGTCAATGAAGAAATAAAGAAATTAAAGACTTCCCAGAATTCAATGAGAATAAATGCACAACATACCCAAACTTACAGAACACAATGAAAGCAATCCTAATAGTAAAGTTCATAGCGCTAAGTGCCTTTATAAAGAATTTGGAAGGATCTCATACTAGCGACTTAACAGCACACTTGAAAAATCTGGTACTAAAGGAAGCAAACACACAAAAAGGAGTAGAAGGCAGGAAATAATCAACCCGAGGGCTAAAATCAATAAAATAAAAACAAAAAGAACAACCCAAAGAATCAAGGAAACAAAGAGTTGGTTCTTTGAGAAAATCAGCAAGATAGACAACCCCTTATCCAAACTAACTAAATGGCAGAGAGAGAATATCCAAATTAACAAAATCAGAAACTCAAAGGGGACATAGCAACAGACACTGAGGAAATCCAGGGAATCATGTGTTTGAAGTACGACCCAATGAACTAAAAGAGACCTCCCGTAAGGCATGTTTATACAATATTAGTTTTATTCTAGATTAACCAACATCAGAATGTACTAAAATTTTCTAATGATTTATTAGAAGAAATAATGAAAAACAAGGGAAGTAGTAGGAACTCCTCATGAATAGACACTGGTAAACTGTGTTTACTT